CATGGTCAACAGACAATTGCAAGAAGAGCAGAAAATTTTGCAAGTTAGAGAAAAAAAAATTAGCAACAGCAAAAAAAAAAAAAAAAAAAAAAAAAAAAAAAAAAAAAAAAAAAAAAAAAAAAAAAAAAAAAAAAAAAAAAAAAAAAAAAAAAAAAAAAAAAAAAAAAAAAAAAAAAAAAAAAAAAAAAAAAAAAAAAAAAAAAAAAAAAAAAAAAAAAAAAAAAAAAAAAAAATAATAATAATAACAGCAGCAACAAAAAGTTTTGAGTAGCTTGGACCAGCCCAAACCGCATGGGGGCAGCCAAGTCTACCACCTTTTCCAAGCACTGCCAGCGCGCAGCCCAACGCCAGCTCCAGCACGAAGGCCTAAGTCCCACCTAGCCCAACTCCAATCCAGCGCATCTCAGGCCTGTGCAGCACGCGAGGCCCATCTCGCCTCTTGGCTTGTTCGCTCCAACTCCAGCATGCGTGGCCAGCTTGCCTAGCGCAAGCCCCAGTCGCGCACAAGGCCCAGCGCCTTCTTGCCTCAGCTCCAGGCCCAGCGCCTCCACGCCTTCTCTCTGGGCCTAGTGCATGCAGGCCCAATTCCGTTCATCTCTAGGCTTTTCTCATATGCTGGCCAAGCTAGCTTCACTCCAGCCTTCGTCAGCCTCTAGCCATTGGGAGCTTCTAGGGATTGGGAGCTTCTATAGTGAGGGGAAAGTTATAAGGGGTTTTTTTGAGGGGTATGTTAGAGCCGTTGGATTTCATCCAACGGTGAGTTTTTAAAAGAGGGTGCATGTAGAACCGGGTTGAAATCTGACCCGTTGGAAACCCAACTTCAGTTGAAGATATTTCCCTCTCTGAAAAATTCAAGAACACAATCCTCTGTTTTTGAATGTAACGCAAACCCAGAATTAGAAAGATCCAAAGCTCCCAAACCCTATAGTCGCTCCATTGTCATCAGCTCCTTGGGAGGCCTGCGATCTATGGCATCCTCGGTATGACGATTAATGGCTCTTATCTAGCTATTGCCCTGTTTTGATTCTATGGCTGAAGTGAAAACCCCTTCTCTTTTTCGTTCAGCACACGAGATTCCAGATGAAAGCAAAGTAGCATATCTGGTTCTGTAGCTAGACGCCGCAGCAGCATTTGTTCCTCGATTGTGGTAGAGATGGAGTCTCCACTACCAAAGAGTCTTCTCTAATGTCCACCACATTCTCTTAAGCTGATTGACTTCGGAGCTCCCGCTTGAGTTTGAGAGGTAAGTTTACTGTTGCTGGATTGATTTTATTGGGTTTGGTTTGTTTTTTGTGAGGGTGAGAAATTCGTCATTTGTGGCATCAATAATGCGTCATTTCTGCGGTCAATAATGTGTTATTCTGCCGTCAATAATGCGTCAGTTTTCTGTCCATAATGCGTCATTTCCTTATGAATATTCAATATATTTAGTTGATTGTTTTTGGTGGGGGTGAGAAATTATAAAATGTAGGTAAAAGATCCTAAACTTAGGCTTAATGGCATTAGGAGTAAGCATTTGGAGAGGATATTGGGAGAAGTTCTGTAATTGCTGGTTTGAATTACATTTGTGTTCTTAGTTGAACATGTTGGTTCTAATGTTATTTTTTCCAGATTATTGCACAAGAGATGACGTAACTATTATTAAATTTTGTGTAATAATGGCTCTTACAAACAAGCTAGGCTATGCGTCTTTTTTGTGTCAATTTGGGCAATGTTTTGTGTAAGTGGAATGCATTGATATGTTGTAATGCAGTAATGATTGATTAATGAATTAATATTTGCTATGCGGTGATATAGAAGTAGTTCAAAAATATATGTGGGTAAAATGTCTGGGGGCTCAGAGAGTGATGACTGTGTAACAGCTAATGGGATGGTTTACATTCCTGAAGTAAGAAATGAGGAAACACCAGCGGTTGGGATGAAGTTCGACTCGCTTGACCTCGCTTATAATTTCTATAACAGATATGCATTCTTGGCTGGCTTTGGTATTCGACTTCATTCCAGTCTGAGGAAAGAATTTGTTTGTTGCAAACAAGGTGCATACAGGAAAGATGAAACTCGGGAGAGAAAAAGACAGCGGGGAATAAGTAGATGCAATTGCAAAGCTAAGATTGTGGTTGTGAAGACAAATGGGAGCAAGAAGTATGCCATCTCTCTTTTTGCAGAGGGACACAATCATAAGATGATAGCCTTAGAAAGAGTGCATTTATTGAGATCACACCGTCGTATTTCGGATTCTACAAAAGTACTTACGAAACAGTTGGGTTCGGTTAATATCCCCATTCATCAGAAGGTAAGTATTTTCGAGGTGCAATCCGGAGGAATGGATAAAATCGGTTTTATCAAAAAGGATATTTACAATCTTGAATGTAGTG